TCCAGACAACCAAAACTTTCCCATTTATGTGCCTTGAATGTTTTTTAACCATGCTTAGTGGAAATATTTCTGAAATAGATTATACAATTATCCTGCCTTCTTGAACAGAAGCTTCAAGGAATATTAATAACATTTCCTTAGATGTCCTTGGCTGCAGGTATGAGAAGACCTGACTGGAAGAGGTTTAAATAGTAAAGACTTGCAATTAATAGAGAATTGTAATCATCTCGCATTACACAAGAAAACCAGAGCTGGGCAGTTCCAGTGATGATCAGTGCAGCTTGGTAATACCAGGCTGACCTTCCCTCATGGTCACAAGATGGGTGCCACCACTGCAAGCCTCGAGACCTCACATGATAAGATCTAAGGCAAGAATGAAATGGGGGCTTCTCTTGACACGTGTCTTTAATCAGAGAGGAAAATACTTCTCAGAAGACCCCTAGCCGACTTCCTCTCAGGTCCCATTGGCAGGACTGAGTCACATTTCCATGTCTTGGTTTTATGGAAGGCTAAGAGAGTAAATATCCAGCACCTTCAGACTCTGGAGTGGGAGGAGGGCTGTGCCCATAATAAAGAACGGAGGAGAATGGCTGTTGGGTGGGCAGCCAAGAGTGTCTGCCGCAGCTAGCAAGATTGGAGGTGAACGTCACTTACTGTATGGTGATCGCTTGAGAGATGATTCAGATGTGTAGAAATGTTTTGTTCCTACACTGAATGGCCCCAGAGTGGGATTCTTTCAGCCCTCCTAATTCTGCTTTTATTTATTATACTGCCCCCTTCCTTTGTGCCAGACTGCTAGTTATCACTGCTTGCTGTTAATGTGCCTTGTACTCACCTTGCTGTAATTATTAATAGATATGTTTTGTTTTTTCTGGAAAAGTCATATAATCTAAGTTGTTAGAACTCTGCCTGAAATGTTCTGAGGGTCTGATAAGCTGTCCTGTGAATCCCATGTACAGTGTGGCATTTCTTTTGGCTGTTTCAATGTCATTTTTTCATTGTTGAGGTTTTTGGAGGAGTGAGGCATTTTTAGAGTCCTATGAACTTAACATACTACTTTACTGGAGTCTTCCTGTGGTGAAAGGTGAGCATTTAAGGGCAGGTAAACTTGTTTGCTAGGAAGGGTAAAACTGCAGCCATCCCCTGGAAGGAACCTCACCGTGGATCAGAGGGAGGCAGCATGGTTCAGTGTTCAGCTTCCTCCCAAAGCTGCATGGTTGGCTGTTGCCTGGAGAGCACCACTGGCTCTGGGACTGTGCCTACTGGAACTGGTCACTGCAGTGACTGTCCAGAATGAGGCAAACTGGTGTGGAACTTAATTATTCCTGCCTTCTCCCACAAGTTGAGAGCCCTGTGAATGAGTCTTGTGAACTGCCTGGTTTTTGCAGAATTAGAAGTGTTTTATTTAACTTGTTTCAACAAGTTCTTTTTTTTTTTTTTAAGAGACAGGATCTTGCTCTGTCACCCAGGCTGGAGTACAGTGATGTCTTCATAGCTCACTGCAGCCTCGAACTCTTGGACTCAAGTAATCCTCCCACCTCAGCTTCCTGAGTAGCTGGGACTACAGGTGCATGCCACCACACCTGGCTAATTTTTAAAAAATTTTTTGTAGAGATAGGGTCTTGCTATGTTGCCCAGGCTGGTCTCAAACTACTGGCCTTAAGCAATCCTCCTGCCTCAGCCTCCCAAAGTGCTAGGATTACAGACATGAGCACACCTTGCCTGGCCTCAACAAGTTCTTGAAGAAAGTAATGCTTCAGAAATGGTTATTGAAGTTCTACTAAATAAGTGAGGACCATCCCTTCTGTGGATAGAGAGCTGACCAAAATTCAGTCTCTGTATACAGGAAGAAGGAAATAAGAAGCAGTTGTCAAAACAATACTGGCAATACGTAACTGAACCAAATGGAATGATTTTGCTCCGGGAATCAATCCTGAGCCAGTACATTCTAAGAAAACAAATGGTTAAAGTGTTCAGTTTTGATATAGCTGAAATTATGAGCCTAAATTGCTTAGAACCCAAGAGATTCCTTCAGAGCAAGTTAGCTGTTTGAAGACTAAAAGTAATTATTTTACTATGCATCAGAAAATCGTGAGTTAACCTGTAGGCAAAACTTAAGTGACAGTAACATTTGGGGATGAGGAAAACAAGTTTTTGTTTTTTTAAATCTTGACTAATTTGTACCGTTCAAATCATTCTTATAAGAAAAATGCAAAGTATTTCTTATAAATATTTTAGTTATTAACTCATTCTTATGCATAGAACATTTTTAAAGAAGCCATCCTTTTGTCAACTATTGACTGATAAAGACAGGGTACAACTTAGTTAAGTTAAACAAGACATTTGTATTTTTAAAATTTTACTTCCTCATATATGAATTAACATGTGAATTACCGATTTTATCTCTTCAGTACTCTGACCATTCCTGTTCCCCTAATAATCCAGTTATTGTGTACATAGAGAAAGTATTCAAAGTTTAATATTGGCTTCAGTTCCACTTCGTTAGACAAATCTCCGTGCAGAAATAATCATGTAATTAGTGCTTTTCGGGGATCATGGTATATCAGGATGTAGCTTGCTGCCTTTTTTTTTTTTAATTGGAACAACTCACTTGCCTAAGTAAATAAATTACGTTCACATTTTGAATTGTTTCTCATGCTAATTGGGCATTTAGGGGGTCAAAGAAGACAGTTCAAAAATAGGAGGGAAAATCATTTTTCAGCATATCAAAATACTAATACCAACAACTCATTTTCTACAAAACTAAATAACAAGAGCAAAAAATATAATGCATTCCAAAGCCCAAAAAAACCCAGTAGCTTGAGAATCACATAGCCTGTGGTATTATCTGCATTACTTTTGATACTAAGCAATGACTATATTTACTTTACATTTATAAATTATTGCCATTTGATTTTATTATTTAAGTCTGTTTCTTTTTTGTAGGGAAGCTTGCATGTTAAATACTTTTCCACTGGAATGGTCGTTTTGGAGGTTAATCTGAATGTTGTTTTATATTTGGAAACTTGTACATAACATGAAAAGAACTGAAGTCAGATTAAAGTATATGTGAATAGGCAATTTTTTCTAAAATCAATCAGAGGAAATGAAATGAGTAATCAGAAAAGATATAAACTTAATTTTAGAAAGCAATATTTGTTCAAAGTGACTAAAGATAGTACAGATCATGCGGTTTGTAATATGAATGAATTCAAAAGGGTCTTTTGAATTGAATTGTTTATAATTTGAATTGGTCTTTTTCTTATTTTTTATTGTGCCTATATGTTATGAAATTTCTGCTTTGGCACAAATAGACATGTATTGAGGCTGCCTTATTGTGGTGCTTGAGAAATATGACTAAAGAGTGGACATTCAAAATCTTGCCCTTTTCTTTGGTTGTAGTGTGATTCATTTGTAGAAACCCCCTACAGCACTGAGTCAGACATCATCAGAGTCAAGTGTACTCAGTGGTCTAAGAGGCCCTACCAACTGGACAGGTTTTTGTGCCTTGGGGGTTTTTTATTGGTTTTTCTTTTTTAAAGTTTGCTAGGAACCTAACTTTTCCTTCAAGAAATCATATTGGGTGTTTAGAGATCCTAGTTCAAGTTGAACATCACCCCAGACCAGGATGGTATAGACATATAACTATCTAGTATGTATATTTTTAATATACTCACTTCATTTAGCCAAAAAAAATGAACCTCGTACATCCTTCACAATGGAAACTTTAGCTTACTAAATTGTAATTATGACATAGTAAGTGAGTTCTAAGCAGGTTATACCAGTGTACATTAAAGCAGGGGGAGGCAATATGGCATAGTAGGAGCCCAGCATTTAAGTCATGGGACTAGATTTGAATCTTGCCCCTGCCTATCTATGGCATGAGCAAGTTGTTAATCTCTTGGAGTCTCAGCTTCACTCATCTGTTAAATGCAAAGTTAAAAAATAACGTCTCTTTCATGGAGTTATAAGTAACAAATTAGATAAAGTATGTAAAAGTTATTCTGTAAAGCTAGGAAATTCTGTACACGTTTTTCTTGTTATTTTTGATAATGTTCCTGTTCTTTGTCCTAGAAGTGGATAACATTCACACAAACACAAGTTATATACCTTTAAGAATGTGCTATTGAAACAATGTGTTTTTAATGATGGTTTGCTCAATTAAAAATAACAAGTCCTTTTATTTTTTAAAATTGAGTTAAAAAAAAAAACCCAAAATGAAAAGAGAAAGCACATAATACACATTAACAACAAGGATTAGAGTCAGCCTGTACTATCACATCAGACATAGTTGGTGCTCAGATTAGTCTCTGATGCATTCCATTAAGGAACTCCTGCTGATTTAGGAGATATAAATATATGTGGTAATGCATATGGAAAAAATTGAAACTGCTGAGTATCAAAATTCACTGCTTGATTGGAAGCAGAGTAGTAACTTTATTTTTTCTGACAGTCCAGTTGCCATATTCTGTAAAGTAGAAAGATAATCACCTGCCCTCTTTATTCCTTTTTCAAATCCATTCTTGAAAACAGCCTCCCTCCGACTTCCTCTGTAGTGTTAGAGTTGAGGAAGATGCTGCCCAACCCTTGAAGAGTTTATGCTATAATAGAGACTAAAAACAGATGTAACAATTAACTCTGCTATGGAACATTGGACAGAGTAGGTGCCAGAGGAGAAGGTCAGATGGCTGCCATGTCCGGTCATACTGTTGCCCTAAGTTTTTGTGACCATTTCATAGACTGCTTCCAGCACCTACACATCATGCCTCATATTGATTACCTTTCCTGTCACTTGTGGTTTGCCTCTCTGACTAGATTATAAACTCCTTGAAGGCAGGGAAGACACCTTGTATTTCTTGGCCTTTCTCTCCACACTATACCTTTATTCCAAGCCTCAACCAGTCTTTGTGGTTTTGTGCTCAACATTCTGATTTAGCCGAAAAAGTGTCTTAAGATGTGTTTGCACACTAACTTTGTTTTCCTTTCTTCTGTCTTTGCAGTTGACCTGCCCCTGTTTTTTCCTCGAGACCAGCCAACTCTAACATTTCAATCCGTCTATCACTTTACCAACAGCGGACAACTTTACTCCCAGGCCCAAAAAAATTATCCATACAGCCCCAGATGGGATGGAAATGAAATGGCCAAAAGAGCAAAGTAAGTGAATCCATTGTTATTTCCTACAGATAGGAACATTGGGTTTATCTAGTCCAGGGGTTGGCAAGCTACTGCCCACAGGCTTAATCCTGCCTTTTGCCTATTTTTGTAAATAAAGTTTTATTGAAACAAAGCAATGCCCATTTCTTTACTTATCTATGGATGCTTTCACACTACAGTAACATAGTGTGTAGTTGCAACAGAGACCATATGGGCGTCAAAACCAAAAATATTTACTATTTGGGCCTTTGTAGCCTAATCAGGAAGAAGCTGACCTATATCTGAAAGTGTTTCCTTTTCCTACTATTTCTGTTGGTCTCTAAAATTAGCCATGACTGCTTACTGATTTTTTAAAAAATAGAATGTAGGATTTATCAGAAATCCACGTCTCTATTTAGATTAGAGAAGAAGTACTAAACAGGAATCCTGAGTTGTGGATAAATGGTGTCAGTGATGAAAATGTTGGCAACTACTTTTATATTTTTTTAAAAAATGAAAAATGTCAGGTGACGGTAAGCAAATAGAATTTTTGCTTAGTAGTCAATACATGGATCCAGTAGCTACTTTCTCATATGGAATTGAATCTCTTTGAATTATACACCTCATTGCATCTCTGCAGTATATACCACAGCCATTGCCCAAAGTAGGACTGCGTGTTCCTTGATTAAATAAATGGCTACGCAAATAGCTTAGAACAATTAAAATTATTATGGAGGTAGGCTGGGGATTTCATAGAGGTTGAAGTTAGCTAGAATTTGGAATTTAGAGGTACAGTTATTGCTCACAAACCTCTCATTCTTGATTAGCTAGAATCTGGAGTTTAGGGATACAACTGTTGTTCACAGACCTCTCAGTGTGGAGAGCTCTCACCTTAGTCATACAGGACAGGTAAATTCGGAAATAGGCTGAGTGTTTTTTATAGGTAAGACTTTAGTGTCTGGAACATCAGTCTTTATGAACCATGGGCTCCTAGACTGAAGTAGCAGTGGATCAAAATCATAGTTTCCAAAAATAAATTACAGAGTGGCATGTGGTTATTACTTTATCACTCGGAACAGCCATATGCTTCACACCTGTGATCCCAGCTGAAGGATGATCAAATCCAGAGAATCACACGAATGAAGACTATTAAGTATCCTCTTCATTTGCTCATCCAATATTTAGTAAGCATCTACCATGTTCCAGGCATCGTGCCCTACGCTAGGGATATAATGATAAATAAACTGGAAAGTATCCATGTCTTCATGGGATTTGTAGCCCAGCAGAGAAAGCCTTTATCATATCAAACTTCTGACAGTTTTAAAGTACTTACTAACAAAGCCTGGCGTTCTAGACCTGGAATGTTCTCAATTAGTAGGACTTCTTGCTCTTGCCTCCCCCTCCCCAAGATCCCTTTCCTTCCCAGGGGGCCTCCTGGCCTCTACTATGTTTTTCTGTAGTACAAGACCGTCACTTATAGAAGGGTCAGGACTCTTTTAAATAATGACAGAGTGGCTTTTTCCGGAAATGCAGACCGCACCAGATTCATATGTGGAATCCAGAGTTGTTATCTGAAACTTCAGGGTGCCATGTATTTTCCCTTTTTATCTATGACACCCAAGTCTGAAATTCTATTTAAGGAAGAAACAAACATATGCAAATATAACTGGTAACAATGATTAAGACTTACATATCTTGAAATACAATTGAAAAAAAGGATTTATAAAGTAACTTTTATGTTTGAAGTATTGCAGTTGTTTAATTTTCTGGGCTTTCCCTGTGTGTATACCGGATCTGGTCTTAGAAGATGGGCCGTTATTTGTGGTATGTGTTATGGAGTCTGAACCAGACATGTCTTTGAGGTTTCCATGGCAAAGTTATCTTGGTGTGTGTGTGTGTGTGTGCGTGTGTGTGCGCGCGCGCGCGCATTTTTCTTAAGTGGACATTTTAGCATGTATGAATTGATTCTTTAAGAAGTTGCAGACCACAAGCCCATGATTTCAGTGTAGGAATATCGTAAGTGAAGCCTGTTTATCTTAACAGATTGGTTCAGAGCTTGAAGAGACATTTGCTTTATGTTAACACCAGTCTAAAGAAAACATCTGAAGTAACGTTAAAAAATCTGCTTTCTACTATAGCTAAGATGGATCCATTTTAAATGTAATAAAAGAGAAAGCCAGCAGCTCATGCTAGCAAGAAGAAATAGTTCAAAGGTTCCATTCTTAAATTGAACTCACTACTCTGGGCTGTGTCAGAAGGCCAGGTAATGGATAAACAGAACCAAAAAAAAAAAAAAACAACATGTCCTACACCGTATAGGTCTGAGATTGGTGGAAAAGTCTGAAGAGAAAGATGGGAAGAGAGAAAGGTCAACTGTAGCATTCCTTACACGCCCTGTTTCTTTGTTCTGTGAAAATGCTGTATGTACACAGTGTGTAAAAGGCTATAATTCACTTGGGGAGCTCTGCCCCTGACATAAACACTCTCACGGTTTATGAATAGCAGTACAGCCCTTTGAGTAGAATCAGCTGTTTATTCCCTCCTGTAGAGCAAAATTCTAAACATGTGAACCCAGAAACGACACTTCCTGGCACTAACCAGGGCTTTTCCTACCACATGTGCATCTTGCTCGCAGCTGTCTAGCAAATTCTGTCCCTTCTAAGTGAAATACCCTTTACTGGGCGAGCATAAGATTTGGGTTCACGCTTGCCCCAATTCCTATGGCAAAGTCTAATCCTGTAAGCTTTGAAGCCTTGGGCAGAGCTCTTAGCCTCTCTGAACTTCACTCTGTAAAACAGGATTGTGCTCCTCCCTGTTGGATGGACTTGCTGTGAAGAGTCAGTCAGTGAGTTAGCATATGGAAGACCCTGGGGTTTAGCTTCTGCCCCCTCAGATCTACTCATCTTTCATCCTCCTTCCAAATGGGGTTTCCCATCCACTCTAACTCACAGGCAGGTGTTTCCCCTCTTCTTCCCAGTCTTGTTTGACTGTGGTCACATACTGCTTTAGAATCTCTTTTGTATTATTTTTTTGGTTTTTCACATCTTCATATATGTCCTGTTTCCTTAACTATTATAAGTTCTCTGAAGGCAAGGGCTTTGCATATATATTTTGTGTTATTGCAGTGTAATTTACATACAATGGAGTAGACAGATTTTAAGTATACCTTTCGAAAAGTATTGACAAAGTTACCTATACCGCTTTCCAAATAAGTCTTTTCACCCCCAAGGCAACGCTGTTCTGATTTCTATCATTGTTTCTTAGTTTTTCCTCTTTTAGGTACTTCTTACCTTTTTGTGTCCTGCTTTCATTCAATGTAATTTTTAAAGATTCACCTGTCATAGCATTCCTTTCTTACTGCTGAGTAATATTCCATTATATGATTATAGTATAATTTATTAATCCATTTACCTGTATATGGATATTTGTGTTGTTTTTGGAAATTTTATGAAAAGAACTGCTCTGACAAAGCCTTTATATAGACACATGTTTTCCTTTCTTTGGGTAAATACCTGGGAGTGGAGTGTGTATATGATTAACTTTCTAAGAAACTAACAAACTTTCCCCAAAGTTGTTGTATGGGTTTATACTCCACCCAGCAATATGCTGGGGCTCTGGTTGTTCCACATCCTCACCACCACGTGGTATTGTCAGTCTTTGTAATTTTAGCCATTCTAGAGGGGATGAAGTGATATCTCACGTTCTTAATTTGCATTTCCTGATGACTAATGATGTTGAGCACCTTTTCATGTAGTTATTGGTTTATCTTCTTTTGTGAAGTGTGTGTTCAAATCTTGCCTATTTTTAATTTGGTTTTTAGTCTTTTTATTAATGAGTTTTATATAGGAGCTTTTTATATATTTGTTAGATATATGTGTCATGAGTATTGTCTCCCGGTCTGTGGCTTGCCTTTTCATTTTCTTTATACTGTG